AGGCACCATCCCCAACCCTGCTCGGGGTGGACACGGGCGGCCTCTCGGCTCCTAGAGGCCACGTCCTGAGCCTGCCCTGACTCACCTTCCACTTTCATGATCTGGTACGTGTCCTGGACGACCTTGTACTTGGGCTCGTTCCGGAAGGCGTGTGCCCAGGCCTGGATCAGATACAGGATCTTATTTCGGACATTTACTTCTACCTGCCTCTGCAGAGAAGGGAGGAAGGAGAATGAGGAAGGCCTTGGGAAACACAGGTGCCAAGAGAAGTCTCAGCGTGAGGAAGTGGCTGGCAAGACCCCACTACTCCGAGCAGATGGTGCTGGCAGAGGCAGGATGGGTCCCCCAAGTGGGGCACGGGGGCCACATACTGACTCACTCCCCACGCCCAGCCCTCCTCCATGGAGCCTCGTCCCTGAGGATGAACGGAACCCACTGCATCTGTCTGCCCACTTAGGGCCTGGACTTTTCTTTAACCCCAAAAAAAGGTGAGGGACACCTGAAGCTAAAACTCTCCCGTCCCACCATCCTGTAACTATCTGCTTCTCTCTCCCCTGCCCCATGGGACCCTGACCAGCCTCAGAAACCCCTCAGTCTATAACCCACTCTGGCCCTGGCTAATGCTGGCTTCTAACATGCAGAGCCAACCACACCTGGACTGAGGGAGCTGATGCACTGCCGGCTGGCCCCCTTCTTCCAGTCACAGCCAGCTGGGGTGGGCGGGAGGCAGCAACCATTCCCACCAAGTCAAAGCACAGCCAATCACATTTCCAGAGCTCTCTGGGGGACACAGTCTGCACATGATGCTCAGGAGAACAGTGGGATGAGAAAGCTGCTCACGGAGACACTGACGACAGCTCACACACTGGGCTTTGGTTCTTGTAATCTGTGTCCAGTCAGTGGACTCCCCCTTTCTGGTCATAACCCTGCTCCTTCAAGGGACAACTAACTGCCTTAGACCACATGCCCCACGAACAGGACACAATTGTGCCAACATAAGGAGAGAGCAGGTTCTAACTCCTTCTGCCGTTTCAGCCTGGCCAGAGGAGCGACCAGCCAAGGTCTCCAGTCAGGGCCTTGGAGAAGCCCCACTGTCAGCTCAGGTCCCAGATGGGCTCTTGGCCGTGTGGGCCCACAGGCACCTGGACAGGCCCAGGAAACTGTGGCCCAGCTCACTGGTGGTGGCAAAGATGGAGCCCAGGGCTGCGCTCCTCAGCTACCACCCTGGGCAGCCTCATCTGTGGGGGATGCCCTTTCCCCTCAAAGAACGGCTGCACCACCCACTCTGCATCACACAACCTCCCGGCGTCACCACCCTCATCACAATCCCTACAAGTGGGCAGTGCCAGCCTGAGGCCACCGGCAGCGACTTGCTCAGAACAATCTCTTGGGACTCTGGAGGACTGTTCCTCCTCTGCCAAATGAGGGTGTGAAACCCACTCCCCAAGGCGTCCCTGCTCTGCTGTCTCCCCGCAACTCTCCCTCTATGGAGGGACTCACACGTGGGACTCACGTGCCTCCCTGCTAAGACTCCTTCCCAGGCCCCATATGTGGGACCCGCCCAGCTGCCTTCTGGGGCTCCCCCCAGGCCTCTGCTCGCACACCCTGCCCGAAGCACAGGCAGCTCCTTTCGCCTCCTTCTCCACCACTCAGTGATGTCCCCCGTCCTCCAAGACTCAGCTCCAAGCCCTGCCCCCAGAAGCCATCCCCGACCCTGCAGGAAGAGCTAGGTCTCCTCTGTGCCCCTAGACTCGGCACCCTGTTCACTTCTGATAAGGCTGAGACCTCACTGTGTTGGGAGTAGTGCCATGCGAGGACTACCCGTGCACGCCTTCCCATCCTCTGCCCCACTTGGCACTGCTCCCACCAGACGTGCTGGCAAACACCTGCAAAGGCACGCTGCAGGGTGGCCACACCCCCAGCCTGGACCTCGCTGCTCCCCGTGAGGCCCCCACCTTCAGCAGCTCCTTCAGCTCCTCCATGGTTTGCTTGTTGGCCACCTCATCGTGGACGGTCTGCCCGCAGTTCTTCACCACAGACTCCATGACCTGCAGATCCCAAGGAAGGGAAGGGAAGGGTTGGGCCGCTGGTCAGGGCTAGGACCCCTCTCCTGGATGGGCCTACCTCCCCATGAGAAGGTGGTTGTGACAGGCCCCTCAGGCCACCCAGCCAGTCAGAAGAGCGCACCTGGCAGCCTCTGAGACAGGCAGCAGCTGCTATCTCCATGTTTTATCGCCAAAGACAGACAAGAGTCAACCTCAGGGCCCCAAGCCTGCTGGCACCACTCCCACCCCAGCCCTCCATCAGAGCTGCTTGAGTCTGCCCTCCCTCCTGGACCCTCACTGCTGACAGCATGCCCAGGCAGGTGGGCAAAGCCCCGGGTTGATTCATCTCTGCCATCCGGATGGGGCAGGGACGCTTGGATGATGGGAGTGCGGGGGTCTCACAACCTCTAGGGCATACAAGGCCACGTGGGGATTCTTGTCGTTGACCTTCTTCTTGATGGAACTCACGGCATACTTTGCTCTGAGAGAACAGCAGAAAGACAAGGAAAAAAGGAAACAGGCTCAGCAACTAAGATGAGAAAAGTCCACGCACCATCTGGTCCTTGAGAACCCTCAAGCAAATGTTAAGGTAACCATGCACCTCCAAGCCGTACAGAGAAAATCCTTTAGTTGTTCCAAGATCTCCAAAACCCCAGCATGCACACCACGCAATTCTCTACCTAAGGAGAATTCCACCTCATAGACTGGCACAGGATCTCGGAGGATCCATGGGCACCAAGCAACCCCAATGCATGGTGCGACTACACCCTTGCTTCCAAGCGAGCACAGCCCTCCCTCACTTACTGTGTGTCCCCTTGGCGGATCAGGTCGCAGATCTGGAGGATGGACTCCCAGTCGGTCTCCAGCAGAAGCTGGCTAGTCGCTTTGTCTAAGGCAGAAACGCACCATTATGGGGGCTTGTCCTGCTCCATGATTCCCTAGGCAGCCCCCAGCTCAGCAACAGGCAGGAGCAACTGCCTCCCTCTCATTTTAAACATTTGGACCAAATAGAAAACCATGTGAAAATCCTCCTGACGCTGGATAACCATGAGTGCTGTCCTGCCCAAACGAGAAGCAAACAGCTTGAAAGATGATAATAGAGTGCCTGGTGTGGGCTTGTTATCCGCCAGGTGCTGTTCCAACACTTTACGTGAACTCATTCCCTCACTCAATTCTCATACAACCTTACAACCTACATACTATTTCCATCCTCTCTGCAGATAAAGAAACTGAAGCAGGAGAGGTGAGGCTACTGCATGAAGTCACACAGCTTGCTGGGGATAGAGCCAGGATTCAACACTATGCATGGCTGCTTCTCAACAAAGAGAACTCTGCCACCTCGTCCTTCAGAGTCCCTGTTTTTTTCCAGAAGTTTACCCTATTCAATCAGATCTCAGCTAGTGCAAGGCTGGAGAGAGATGCAGTACGGATTCCAATCCTCTGCTTCAAGTGTTTTGTGGGACAAAGATGGGATTGACCTCCAAGAAGGATTCTCCACCTAATACCTTCACTCTCTGTCACCGGTGCCCCAGACAGCAGATCTCCCTGAGGAGGAGCTGCTGCTCCAGCCCTGTTGGCACCATTTCCTGACACACAAATGATCTAATAAGGGGTGTCCATTTTCAGTACTGATTTGGTAGTAACTTCTGGACTGATCCCTAAAGGGCTGAACCACCTCGTATGGCTGACTTCCTCAGCCTGCATGTTCCAAGAGCTAGGAAGGTGCCTCATCTGAGGTCTCCTGCAAAACCATATTCAAGGGAAAAGGAGGGCGGGCTCGGGCTGTCCGCTGCATCACCCAGAACGCCTGTCCCAAACACAGCGCATCCGCAGCTTCTTTGTGGGGAGGGGAACATGCCCTTAAATATTTATTTTCTTTCTTCGTAAAATCTGTGACTTTCAGGAGGCTCAGAAAGGATCAGCTGTACACCTCCAACAAACAGAGGACACGCCTTCCGAACCCACCGGGCGCTTCCCGGGTTCTGGTCCGGCTCCTCAGGGAAGAAGAGCTCAAAAGAGCTCGGCCGGGTCCAGGGAGGACGCTACTAGCCTCCACCCTTTGGGGCCCAATGTTTGGATCATAACTCCTCAATCCCATGCAACCTAGGCTTTTTTCAAGGAAGGGGATCTGCTGAAATTTTACTATTTGACTGAGTCACCGGTTTCGGTGTTCACCCCTCCAGCTCCCGGCCCCAGGAACAGAGAGCCCCGAGAGGGGTCACCTCAGCGGACCCTCGCCCACGCCGGGCGGCGCCCGCCCAGCGCCGGGACTGCCGAGACCCCGTGTCGCCGGCGCTCCCACCTGGGGCCCAGGTCGCGCGGCGGCCGCCCTCCGCTCCCTCCCAGCGGCCCCGGGCGGGGACGGGCAGCAATGGCCGGCGTAGCGCGCCCTGAACCGTGGCCGGCGGAGGCGCCGTCGGGGGCGGGCGGGTGCCACGTTACCTAGGAGACGCTCGAAAGTGCCGCTGCCGCGCCCCATGGCGACCCCGGACCCGACCCGACGCCGCGGCGGTCCTTCGCTGCGAGCCGGCGCGCCCCCGACTTCCGCTTCCGTCTTCCCCTCGGGCGCGCGCACGCCCGCGAGCAGCTAGGAGGCGGGCCTCTCCGCCTGCTCCACACGCTGTGCGCTGATTGGGTCGCGTCCGTAGAGCTAGTGAGCGCCGAGAACCAATGAGCAGCCCGGAGTCGAGCAAGGCCTCTCCAATGAGAGCGGGAGGAGAGGCGGTGGGCCTTGCGTCGCCACGGCGCCGAGTTAAGGGTGCCCGGTGGAGCGAGGGGCCGGGATGTGTCTACTCCTGGGGCCCAGCGGCGTCGGGAAGACGCTGTTGGTGAAACGACTGCAGACTATCCTTCCGCGCCGGGCGTGGAGACTAGGGGCACAGGGGCGCCAGGGAGGTGCGGGGGGCGCTCGGGGGCAGGGGTGTCCGGAGGACCGGGGCTGGGGGGACGGGCGGGATGCGGGGGGCGCCCGGGGCCCGGAGTTGCAGGGGGCGCTGGCGGGGGCGGGGTCCGACGCCGGCTGCCCTTCTCTGCCCGCTCTGGGTCCTTGACTGCCCCGCACAGCTGAGCTCCCGGGATGGGAAGGGCGACTTGGCAGATCCTCCCCCGACGCGGCCTACGGTAGGCGTCCACCCTCCCGCAGGGCTAGTAGAATCGGGGACGCTTGGCGATTTGCAAAGCGCTTTGGGTTCTAAGTGGAGGCTGAAATTCAGCCGGTCGATAGTTAAAGATAGCCCTCATAGCCCTCGGGAGGCGAGTGGGGAGTCCCGGAAGGAGCCTGGCTCCCCTGGCACAAAGCCGCGATGGAGGTGGGTGCTCTGCGAGGGGTCCCCAGCCGCCCGCCCCTCACGACTGTTGAGACTTTTCGCTGGTCGCCCCACAGATCGAATCCCACTGATGGGCGTTGGTACTCCGGCCACACCCAGCGCTGCGGGGCAAGGCCCTGGACCCCTGGAAGCATCTTTGGTTATGGGTTCTTTCTTAAGGCCTGAACCCTTGAGAGGGATCTGTTGGAGCTTAGATCACACCATAAAAGGCTGGGCAGGTTGCTGTCCAAGACTTCCCAGTGGGAAGGCGCCTCTGTTGTTCTCTCTGCCTCCTGGTTTTTTCCACAGGTGGGCACTAACCTTACTGACATCGTGGCCCAGAGAAAGATCACCATCCGGGAGCTAGGGGGGTGCATGGGCCCCATCTGGTCCAGTTACTATGGAAATTGCCATTCTCTCCTGGTAGGTTATAATCCTTTGAACTTCCCCTAGGGAAGTATGTCCCCATTCTGGTGGTGTCTAGTCCCTGACCTCACTTTGTATGAGATGGAGTTTGGGTTCTGCTAGTCAAGGGAACAGTGCCCTCGCTAGAGCTGCTTCCTTCTGGGAAGCCAACCTGATCCCAAGTGCTCCTGCTCTCAAGGAACGTAAAAGCTCACAGGAGGCTTGCTGAGGGCAGTGTTCCTTCTCTGCGTGTAACTGTCTGACATCTGTTCTCTGCCTTGTTGCCCTGCGTGTGTTTTTTATGTTTATGTTTGAATTCTACATCCCTCTGGTTCTGGTAAGGCCTGTGCCCCAAATTCCAGGCCCCTTCCTTGGAGAACTGATGACCACACAAAGAGACTCCGTGTAGGTGGAAACAGGTGACAACAGGTCCTTCTCATGCAACTCGTTTCTCTCTGCTTCTGCCTGTCCCCAAAGCCCTTTGTTTAAAAATCGTTTTGCCCTTTCTGAGTCAGGTCTGTGATGCCCAGGGGAGGAGATTTGGCAAGGACTGTCTTCCATCGCAGGGTGGTCCTGATCTTTTTTCCCTTCTTCCCCAGTTCATGATCGACGCGTCTAGCCCCACCCAGCTCTCTGCATCCTGTGTGCAGCTCTTGGGTCTTCTTTCTGCAGAACAACTCGCAGAAGCATCGGTCCTGATACTCTTCAATAAAATGTATGGGTCTGTGAGGAGAGGGAGTGCAGGGGGTGCCCCAGGGCGGAGCTCCTTTGGCATGTAACCAGGAGGGTGGCTTGTTAGGAGGGGGTGCAGTGGGGCCTGAGGTGGGGCTTGGGGCAGCCCACTCTGACCGCTTCTTTTGCTCCAGTGATCTGCCCTGTTATATGACCATAGAGGAGATGCAGTCATTAATTCGGCTCCCGGACATCATTGCTTGCGCGAAACAGAACATCACCACAGCAGAAATCAGTGCCTTGAAAGGCACTGGCTTGTCAGAGGTGCTGCAATGGCTCCAGGACACCCACAGAAGCCACAGTTGACTACAGGGTGGAGGAATGTGGCTGTCTTGCTCTGTGGTGAGGAGGCAGAGGGCGGCACTGCTTGGCCTCTGGCAGTTTATTCTTATTGGGGCAGGATGACCTAATGTAAGCCCTGGAAGATGGGCTTGTGTGCTGAGTTGCAGTGATGGGTAAACTGAGGCATCCAGGTTACAGAAACTCCTGACATCTGGCCTCTGTCCCCAGGGCTGGGAGAAGAGGACAAGTTTAGCTGGTGTCCCACCGCTACTGGGTTTTGATCCCCTCCCCACAGGAAACCCTCTCCTCTTTCCCCAGGTTCTTTGGACTCCAACCACCACAGACCTGCTCTCTCCACTGTGGTACAAGTTTCTGATACACTGATGGTGTGACCCTCACTGGATAAAGCTGCTATCATGGGAAGAACCAAGCCTCGAGTCAGAAACAAGAGAAGCATTTTCATTGGTTCATTTGTTAAGTAAACACTTTTTCCTCTGAGGAGCCTGGAAGATATAGGGTTCCCGCAGGTAGGCGAGGGCCAGGAGAGGCTCCGATGGAGCATGGGAGGTGCTGCCTGCGAGCTCATCACTAGGCCCTCAGGGTCAAGGGTCTTGTGTCCCCTGTGTCCTTTTAGAGCCGAAGGAGCTTGCAGGAGAACACCTATTGATTGGTGTATTTGTGTCCTAGGGCCCCTGTAACAAACAACTACAAACTGGTGGCTTACAGCAACATAAACATGCTCACATTCTGGAGGCCAGAAGTCTGAAATCAAGTTGTCTGCAGGGTTGGTTCCTTCTGGAGGCCAGAAGTCTGAAATCAAGTTGTCCGCAGGGTTGGTTCCTTCTGGAGGCTCTGAAGGAAAATCCATTCCTTGCCTCTCTTCTGGCTTCTAGCTGCTGGTAATTCTTGACTTGCGGCTTGCAGAACTTGAATTTCTGCTTCTGCCTTTGTGTGGCTGCCTATTTTCTTCTTATAGGGACACCTATCATTGAATTTAGGGCGCTTCTTGTAAACTGGTGTATCCTTTGGAGAGGAGGTGGCTCACCCTAACTGTGGTGGGACCTTTCCTCCCCTCCCACCTTTGGGTTCCTCCACTGCTCTCGGGGATCTGTTCTGGGTCCAAGCACCCGGGGCATCAGAGTGCACTTTCCCGTGGCCTAGCCACCCCCACCCCCAAAGCTCAGTTGAGTTCCCGAATCTGGGAACTGATGATGCTGAGGGAGCCACCGTTCCCAAAGGATGTCTCTGCTTGTGGATTCTTGTCAGCACACTTTGATAGCATCTGGATAAGAACTTTCTTTAATGGTTTGGCTTTCCCATCAAATCCAACACTACGATAACAAGGGATAGCATTACGCAACAATATAATGTTAAGTATAACATTGTACGTTAATACATTTAAGTGTGACTAGGGCCAGCCCTGGTGTCCTAGTGGTTAAGTTTGGCACACTCTGCTTTGGTGGCCCAGGTTTGGTTCCTGGGTGCAGACCTACACCGCTCTTCTGTCAGGGGCCATGCTGTGGTGCCAGCTCAAATAGAAAAAGAGGAAGATTAGCAACAGGTTTTAGCTCAGGGTGAATCTTCCTCAGCAAAGGTAAAATAAAATAAATGTGGCTAGTCTGGGAAAACACTTCCCTATGAGAAAGTCCACACATAGGGTGTTGCGAGGCCTGTGTGTACAAGTAAGACGGCCCGTCTGGGATCACTGGTTTCGTCCCCACCCCCCAATTTTGTGCAGATTGTTTTCCCTTTGTACAGAGAGAAACCAGTTCAACCATGTGGGAGGTTGGAACACACAAGAAGCTCCATCTCTAGCCTTCACCTCTTTTTTTTTTTTTTTTAATAATTTTATTTATTTATTTATTTTCCCCCAAAGCCCCAGTAGATAGTTGTATGTCACAGCTGCCCATCCTTCTAGTTGCTGTATGTGGGACGCGGCCTCAGCATGGCCGGAGAAGTGGTGCGTCGGTGCGCACCCAGGATCTGAACCTGGGCCGCCAGCAGCGGAGTGCACGCACTTAACCGCTAAGCCATGGGGCTGGCCCTAGCCTTCACCTCTTAAACGTCCTCTTTGATGTACATCCACATCTCCTCTTAAAGATCCTAGGAATGAAGGGTAGGTGAGAGGTGGAAGGATGCTGAGATGCAGCTCCCTGAGTCAGAGCCTGGGCAGAACACCCTCCTCGACTGCTTTTTCAGTATGAGTAAGGTAATTAGTCTGGGATGGCTGGTTTTGCCCCAGTTCCCCCAGTTTTGTGCAGATGCAATTTGTGTGACTGCTCGTCCTGGGCTAGGAAAGAATAGACACTCAGACTTTGCTCTGTGTAGCTGTGGCCCAGCCAGAGCCCTATCTGTCTCAGCAGCTCCCTCTGTCCCTGGATGCTATTACCTCTCCTAGTTTCTGGGTGAAGGAGGATTGGGTTGACTGCTGTGGAGGGGGGCATGGGGGGGGGGTGAGACTCCATTCCCACGCTGCAGCCAGTAGGTGCAAGTGCCTCCCTCCAGTGGGAGGGAGAGCAGCACAGCCCACTACGTGGGCTCAGTGGGCAGGCCAGCAGGGGAGGCCATCACGGGCCAGCTGCTCTGTCAAAAGTGGAGCTGTCTGTGCTCAGAGCCCAGCGCTGGGCACTTGCAAAGGGGAAGCAGAAGGGCCAGGCTGCCCTTGCCCTCCTGGTTCCCTCCTGATGACACAGAGGGAGCAAAGCAGAGGCCTGGCATGAAGAGAGAGAAGGCTGGCAGTGCTAGGGTGCAGTGAGAAGGATGCGCCTGCCCATGGGGATGGGCATGGCTGGGCACCAGGGCAAAAGGAGAAGGCCAAAGGGCCAGCCCAGTGGCGTAGTGGTTAAGTTTGCATGCTCCACTTTGGCGGCCCGAGGTTCGCAGGTTCAGATCCTGGGCGCAATCCTACTCAGCGCTCATCAAGCCATGCTGTGGTGGCGTCTCGCATACAAAATAGAGGATGGGCACGGATGTTAGCTCAGGGCCAATCTTCCTCAGCAAAAAGAGGAAAGATTAGCAACAGACATTAGTTCAGGGCCATTCTTCCTTACCAAAAAAAAAAAGTTAAAAAAAAAAAAAGAGGGCGGAGGAGGAGGACAGGAGGTATGTGGGCTGTGAAAGGGTGCGACTGTGGGGCTGTCTACATCTGAGTGGGTGCATGTATACACATGTGCATGTGTGTGTTTCTGTGTCTAGATGACAGGGGGGGTTTGTGCACGAGTGTATGTAGGTCAGTGTGTATGTCTGAGTGCACTTACAGTGTGTGTGTGGCAGATGTAGTATATGTGTGATAAGACTGTGCAGGTATGAGTGTGTTCGAGTGTGAGAGCATGTGCACATGTGTTAATGTGTTTGGGGTATGGTGTGTGAGTGTGTCTGGGGATGGTATTGTGCACATGTGGGTGTATCTGAGGTATGCATGTGTGTGTGTGTTTAGGGGTTGTGTGTCCATGGGGGTGCTGGGAAAGCCGAAGCCCACTCCCCTAACAACTCCTAAGCATCCAGCATCAGCGGACTGCTGAAACAAACATTCCCTGTGAACCGGCCATATGCTGTCTGCTCATCCAGCTTTGGCCCCTCCCCTGGTTCCTGCTAATCCAGCTTACCCTTCTAAAACAAAAGGCCCTGAGCTAACATCTGTGCAAATCTTCCTCTACTTTGTATGTGGGACACCGCCACAGCATGGCTGATGAGTGGTGTAGGTCTGTGCCCAGGATCCAAACCCTCAAACCCAGGTCGCCAAAGCAGAGTGTGCCCAACTTAATTGCTATGCCATGGGGCCAGCCCTGCAAAAGCCTTTTTCTGGTTGATTTTGAGTATTCCCATCCAGGAATAAGGTACATCTCTCCTTTTAGACCAGGGTTGCTCAGCATTGGCACTGTTGACATTTTGGGCTAGATCGTTCTGTGTTGTGGGGCTGTCCTGTGTTGGAGGATATTTAGCAGCATCCCTGGCCTCCACACACTAGATGCCGGAGTACAGCCCTCATCCCTCATCCCTCAGCCGTTAGCACCCAAAGCATCTCCAGACTGTCCACTGGCAACAAAATTGCCCATCAGGAACCTGTGTTATGTCAGTCTTTCCTGTTCCAGCTAGTTTGTAGTTTCCTTCACAGGTTCTTGACAAACTTACTTCTATATTAAAAACTGTCACTACTGTGAATGAAATTCACAATTCATTAACTTGTCTCATTTTACTGATATACATGTAAAAACTATCTTCTTTTTAATTTTTATTTTTTCCCCCAAAGCCCCAATAGATAGTTGTATGTCATAGCTGCACATCCTTCTAGTTGCTGTATGTGGGACGCGGCATCAGCATGGCCAGAGAAGCTTTGTGTCGGTGCGCGCCCGGGATCTGAACCCGGGCCGTCAGCCGCGGAGCGCATGCACTTAACTGCTAAGCCACAGGGCCGGCCCAAAAACTATCTTCTTTTACTCATTTTTTTTTTTTTTGTGAGGAAGATCGGCCCTGAGCTAACATCTGCCAATTCTCTTTTTGCTGAGGAAGACTGGCCCTGGGCTAACATCCATGCCCATCTTCCTCCACTTTATATGGGACGCTGCCACAGCATGGCTTGCCAAGAGGTGTGTCGGTGCGCACCTGGGATCCGAACCGGCAAACCCTGGGCTGCCGCGGCAGAGCGCACACACTTAACCGCTTGCACCACCGGGCCGGCCCCTCTTTTACTCATTTTTAACAGGCTATCTACTGAATTATGTTTTTTTTTCTGTTTTTTTTTGTGAGGAAGATCAGCCCTGAGCTAACATCCATGCCAATCCTCCTTTTTGCTGAGGAAGACCGGCCCTAAGCTAACATCTATTGCCAATCCTCCTCATTTTCGCCTTTTCCTCCCCAAAGCCCCAGTAGATAGTTGTATGTCATAGTTGCACATCCTTCTAGTTGCTGTATGTGGGACGCCGCCTCAGCTTGGCCAGACAAGCAGTGCATTGGTGCGCGCCCAGGATCCGAACCCGGGCCGCCAGTAGCAGAGCGCGCGCACTTAACTGCTAAGCCATGGTTATTTTTATGTATTTATATAAATAAAATTTGTTTTATACATACAATTTTATATAAATACAAGAATCTCTATACACTATATACATGTTTATATTTCACATCTAAATTGCATGTTTTAAAATTTATTTTTATAAATACAAATGTACAACTCTATATTATACGTTTTCCTGTTATTTTCAGGTACACAACCATATCATTTGCAAACAGTTTGTTACATTTATTTGTTTTCTTGGCTCAATCCTCTGACCAGAAATTCTAGGACATGGGGCCGGCTCCGTGGCTTAGTGGTTAAGTGCGCGCGCTCTGATGCTGGCGGCCCGGGTTCGGATCCCGGGCGTGCCCCGAGGCACCACATCTCCGTCCAACCCGAGACCGAGTCCCGCGTACAGCAACTAGAAGGATGTGAACCTACGACATACAACTATCTACTGGGGCTTTGGGGGGAAAAAATGAATAAATAAAATCTTTAAAAAAAAAAAAAAAAGAAATTCTAGGACAATATTAATGATGACAGTAGAAATTCTTGTCCCGTTCCTCATGATCTCCCTGGTATTTTGTAAGACAAGACCCAAGAGCCAGAAAGAGATTAAGAACCACAGTTCTAGAAGCACCAGTGGTGCCTGGAGGTCCCCAGAGTACAGACCAGTTTCAATAAATGACTGTGTGAAGTAAGCAACAAAGATAACGACCATGAGGACATAGGACCACCGACCAGCCATGTCTACATTAAGAGACATTCTGTTTGAAAAGCAGAGGTCCCCGGGACTTTTTGGAAGTCACCTCCCTCAAGCATTCATTCAATCCTGTGTCCCTTAATGCATATAATTCCATGAATAAGGCATTAAATAAAAGACAAATGTTACCATTTCCACAATGCTGGACTTTGAGGACTGCTTAGAAATAGGCAGCGCTAAACCCTCAACTCTGATTTCCAGTGCATGCATGCAAGCCTCACCTACAGACCCACCTCCCTCTGCACAGAAGGCGCGGTCACTGAGCCTGCCCTCAAGATGCCCTGCTGCCCTGGGGAATTGGGGGGACCTGCTGCTCCAGGATGGCTCTCACCAGTCTTCCCATGGGGCAGGGGGTGGCCCCAGCAGTGCTGGTCCCCAGCATGTGGGCAGCAGACCGGGTCTCCAGGTCCTGACTGCCCTGCACGCTCCAGAGCTGGTCCCAGGGAGGCCCAGTGGCCTGCAGGCTGAGGCAGAGAAGCCTACCCTACCACCGTGGTATTGTTCACCCTGAGCTCTGCTCTTGGTTTTCATTGTTACAATGCTGACTCAGGACAGGCGCCCAGGTGCACGCCTCCCCCTCCTCTCGCCCGGTGTCCCTGCAGCCGGGGCCCTAAGGGGTCGGGGGTCAGCTCAGCAAACCCACTGGCTCACCCGCCTGCAGTCCTGCTCCAGCAGCCAGGACTGTACCTCCGGGCTCTCAGAACCAGAGCTGCTCTGAGTCTAAAACCCTGACAAGTTTGTGTTCTCAGGCTACAGAAGTGTTCGAACCACCCACACCCTGTGGAAACAGCGCCCCCTGCGTCACAGCAAGGGCAAAAAGACCCCACACCACTGCACAGACACACTGGTTAGGCCCATGGGGATTTACTGAGCTCCCTGTGCTCCCGTCTGTGCCAGCGGGAGGAGCTTGAGCTGGTGAGTCCCAGGAAGGGGCCAGCAGCTATCCTTCTCAGCTCGGGGTACGCAGTCCCACTCCTTTCCTCTCGCCCTTGTGACCCACATCTGGGCACACTGATAAAATCTGGATGCTCCCTCCTTTGTCACCAGTGGGAGATTCAAATCTCGCCAGGCCCTGCACTTGGTGGGAACTCTCACTCACCCCCCTCTAACCACAAGAGTCCCAAGCCAGGCTCCTGTCCTTGCTGTCAAGCCACTTGGGACCTGCTTCAGAGGCCCACCCTGCTCGCCACAGGGACCTTGATGACACAAGGACTGAACCTCCTCAAATCTTCTCGGTGGGTGGCGTCAGCAGTCTCCACAACTGAACCAAAACTTGAGTGGGCTCCACCTGCCTCTGTGGAGACCATCACAGTGGCGCCGTGAGCAGGTCTACATGATCTGACCCTGACCCCAGCCCTGGGGTCCGTCTCTCCTTCCCCCACACTGGATCACTGCCTGGCCCATGCATTCAGCCATGCTGCTCTGTTGAATCCAGCTGAGCCTCAGTTATCAATTTAGTCGACCTAAATCAGCAGTGTCTACAATTAGTTGGCATCTAGGGACAGGATTATGGGACTGGCCCTCCCTAAAGTGGCCCTGGGTTGTCTCAGCCTGAACCTATGTGTTCAAAACAAAGCTGGGAGTGACGTTAGGTTGCCCAACTGGCTGTGTCTCAACCAGACACTGGCCCCATCTATGGGGGCTCAGGGAACAGATGATGTCCTGTGCAAGACATGGGCCCGGCAGACAGTCACTTGTGAAAGAGCAGTCTTTAAGGAGGAAAAGAGAGAGCAAGGACCTGGCACCCTCTCCTGCTCTTGAGAGCTGGTGTGCGAGGCCCTGAGTGTGTGAGAGTCCTGGGTGTGTTCCAGAGAAAGGACTCACATCAGTAAAGCACCTGCCATCTCTCCCCACCCAGGTGCAGCAGCCCAGGTCTCTTGGCATCACAGATGTGGCTCTGGCTTCTTCCCAAAAGGGAGGCGGGGTGACTGCGGTGGTTGTGGTGACTGAGGCCCCTGCTGTTGCCGCTTCTTTAGCGCCCTGTAGGCCTGCACGGCCCGCTCTCTCTCCTCCCCTATGATCCGCTGTGGAGCCAGCGAGGTGGTCGGTGGCAGAGACACACCACCAGGGCTCAAAAGCATCCTCAGCATCAGCGATTTCTTGCCAGGCTAAGGAACAGAGAGATGGAGGGCTGAGGCACAGGTTCAGGAAGGAAGGGAGGTGACAAAGAACCTAGGTTGGTCCAACAGCCATATGCCCAGTGAGCACTGGGGGCCAAACAGGGCAGCTCCCTCGCCCCTGCTCACCTGGCCTCTGCTCATGCTCGCCTTGGGCCTGATGGTCAGCTCTGGCGGCTGCAGGGCGACCTCACCAAACTTCACTGTGTCTGGAGGGGCAGAGAGCATGCCTAAAGCCTGCTGTCCACACAGCCCCCATACGCCTGGCACCCAGAGCCACTGTCCACCCGCCCACTGACCCCAGGGAGACACGGGTGCCCAGCCCCACCCAGCTTGCCCCCTGGGACAGGGCTGACACAATGGATTCAGGAAGAGCTACCTCGGAGCAGCTCCTGCTCCAGCCTTTCTGCTGCCTTTTCTTCCCTTCTCTGCTGGACTTTATCCAGTCGCCGCTTCTGGAACCTGGGAAGAAAACACAGTGCTGTTGAGATTCCTAAACTCTCATTTCACTGGACTCAGGAGGAGGCAGAGGTCGCCCTTGCCTACGAGGGTTGCCCCGTGGCAGAGGCCAGGTGGCTGCCTCTGAGTCCCCACTCCTGCCACCACCCACAGCTATCCACCAGAGAGGGCTCTGAGCCCAGGAGGCCCCTCCAAAGTTCCAAGTTGGTGGTTCTCAGCAGGGGTGACTGTGCCCCCAGAGCCATCTGACAATGTCTGGAGACATTTTGGGTTGTCACAATGGGGGGTGCTCCTGGCACCTCATGAGTGGATACCAGGAATGCTGCTCAACACTCTACAGTGCACAGGACAGCCCCCATGCCAGAGAACCATCTGGCCCCAAGTGTCAATTGTGCTGCTGCATCTAAAGGGCCTCACAAAGTAGCAAATATATGTCATGGCCCTTAATGTGACCTTGGACTCTTAATGTTTAATGATGGTTTTGGAGACCACTGAGGCTTTAGACAGTATCTGGGATAGATTTTCTGTGATGTAATTTTCCTTGGCTCATATGACTATGTATCTGACAAGAATTCAAACAAAGGGAAACTCCACAAAGCTGAAAACAATCTAACTTGCACAGCTTGTAGAAAAACTTCGAATGAAAGCTTGGGTCGGTTCATCTCTAAAGTTGCAGTTAAGGCAGAAACACGTCTCAAAAAGCCCTTGTTTGTCAAAACAACCTCCCAGACCCTGCCCACAGGCTAAAGGAGGTGGCACACGGCTTCTGTCCCAGAATTCTCCGGGGCTGGGGGGTAGAAGGGGCAGGGGAACTGCAGCTGGCAGTGGGCTCCCTCCTGGTGCTGGACGCCACCCTCAGGAACCCTGCAAGGATCTCGTCCGAGCCCCCAGTGGAGGTGCCAGTATCTTCACTTTACTGACAAGGAAGCTGAGTCTGAGAGAGGTCACAGAACTTGTGCAATAAGACAGCTAAAGGCTCTCAGATCTCTTTCAGATCAGACAGGTGAAAGCCAGAAACTGATTTCTGTGGGGGCAGGCAGGATCCCCAGTGGCCAGCAGGCCCTCCTGGGAGGGCGCTGAGCCTCATCTTTTTTCTACTTCCCTATAGCAACTGACCTGGGGTGGACAGCTGGCCCTGGACTGCAGCTAGTTCTTGGACTCCCTTGATGCTTTTCCAGAGAAAGGCAAAGACACAGCTAGGCCTTCAGAGTTCCGTGGGTTGGGAGCCTCCCTGAATCCCAAGGTTAAGAAGCTCTGATGTAGAGAAAAACACTTGCTAACTGACGAGGGCTGTACCTTCTTTCCACGCTTTCCCTGAATCACAGGGTTGGGTGGGGATGCCCCCTGGCAACAAGACTGTCGTTGTAGAAGACAATCATGGGACCCCACAGCCCTGCCTCCTCCAGGCCTCCAGGGCTAGACTCCAACCCCTTCCAGCACCCACTCACGCTTTTTTCCGCTCTGACTTCTCCTTCTTGGAAGCTGCCTGCGTCTCAGGCTGCCGGTCGGCCTGGTTCTTGCTGAGGAACAGCATGTGCTGGGCCTCCTGCTCCATGCGCTGGATGTAGGCCCCATTGGACTCCCACTTCCTCTGCTTGAACTTGGGGACAGCAATGTCCGGCTCCACTCCCTTTGCTTCCTTCTCCAATGTCTTTCTGAAAGCCACCCGGGCTGAGGACAAAGGGAGACCTCAGAGGAGGTGTGGCGAGAGGGGCTGGAGGCCGGGGGCGGGGTGGTCAGGCTGGTTGTCCATGCTCATTTCCCCTCCTAAGGCCACAGGAAGGGAAGACCACGCTCAAATAGGAGCAGCCCAACCACAGTGGCTAACAAGGATCTGAGATGCCCAGCTCGGGGCACCCCTAGGGGTGGGATCCCCACAGCCACTGGTAAACATCAAAGATGTCCACTGTAGCTCAGTTGAAAAAGGAAACAGGAAACAATCTAAATGTCCATCAGTAGGTGACTGGTTGAATGAATTTCCCTATGTTCATCCAGAGACTTCAATGTACAGCCATGGAAGAGAGCACAGAGGAGCTACATGTAAGGATGTGGAAAGACCTATAAAATCCCCTGGGAAGTGAAAACCCAGGACACTAAACAACGTAGAGAATGAAGGCATAGCTTTTACATCATAAATATGTGAAGATACACATAGTATTTCTCCTTCAAAGGCATACAAGACGATGAACAGTGGGATCTCTGAGGGGATGGAGCAGGGCTGGGGGGTGGGGCTGGGCCTTGCTTAATACCTTTCAGAGCTATTGGGTTCTACCAAACTTCTATCTTGTAAATAACTTAACCAAAAAAAGTGCTGATTCAATGGAGCACAGTTCAAAATGTGCCGTCTTCCAGCAGGACCAGCGTACCTCCTCTACGCCTCCCCTTCCTTGACTCTTTATTTCATTATCCCTCTGGCAGCTATAGCCCCCAATGAAAAACCTATGGTTTACAAAGAAATTATAAACAGCATTGCTGTAAAATCAGTCCCACATTTGGGAAAACAAATATGTGTATACACAAAACACAAACATGCTGGCCTCCATTCCCCACCATGCCCTGAGTGTTATCTCTGGCAGAAGTTGACAGGAGGGCACCTGGCCTGGCCTTGGGGGAGGGGTGGGAAAGGTACATTTCTCAGACAGGGTCTGATGAATTCCCCCCTTAATCTCTAGAAACCATCTACTTCTCTCCACCATTGTTTCTGCCCTCTGGTCCAAGGAACAATCATTTCTCACTTGCAAGAGCCTCACTGGCCTGCAGTGTCCACTCACACTCTCTCAATTGTTACGCAGTGACCTCTTCTCAAAGTTAATCTGAACCAACCATCCCCTCTGAAGGATCTCCATTTCTCTTGGGGGGAGAACCAACACTCCTTACACAAGGCCTCAGGGCCTCCTTTTATTTTATTTTATTTTTTAAGATTTTATTTATTTTTTCCCCCCAAAGCCCCAGTAGATAGTTGTATGTCATAGCTGCACATCCTTCTAGTTGCTGTATGTGGGACGCGGCCTCAGCATGGCCGGAGAAGCGGTGCGTCGGTGAGCGCCCGGGGTTCCGAACCCCGGCCACCAGCAGCGGAGCGCGCGCACTTAACCGCTAAGCCACGGGGCCGGCCCAGGGCCTCCTTTTAGAGCAGCACCTGAAACCACACTGCCAAGTGCTGCCAGCCACCGTTGTGGCCCTGGCAACAGTGGCCTTCAGTCAGTCCTCCGCGTGCTCCTGTACCCTCAGATCACTGGGTCTTAATGGCCCATTACATACTTGGGCAATTAAGTGGATTCGAACACACAAAGCTTTACTGCTCCCCAGCATGGCTCTGTACGTTACCCTCTTTCTTCCTCTTCTTGTTACTGACGGGGTTTTTCATCTCCTGGCGGCTCCTCATAATCTCTTTGAGCCGGAAAGGGATTTCCTGTTCATCCTGGTTCTTGGGCTTGCAATTCACTTTCTTCTCTTTGCTAGAAAGGAGAACACCGGGGTGGGACGCGTCCCACGTCCAGCATAAGCAGAATCAGAGAAACCGAAGCTAGGCCTCGAGAAAAAGACTTGGCAGGCCACCCTGGCTACTGCAGCGCGTGCAGGTCGAGGCAGCAGCGACCTCTCCTCTCACCCTCCCCCGGAGGCGGTCCTCGAACTGGGTTCTCGCAGGACGCTGGGTAAGGGGCGCTCCCATAGTCCCGGGGAGGCCCGTCGCTCCCTGACCTGGTCCACTTCGCAAAGACGGCACCCCAGGAGGCGGCAGGTGCCACAGCGGAAACTCGCTCCCGCCTGAGCTCACTGGCCGATCCTCCCACTCGCCCACGGCACTAACAGGGAGGACGCTGCCCTGCCCGGGGGAGGGGCCGGGAGAAACCCCAGGGCGGTGACACCCACCTGCGCGGCCGGGGCCACGGCGCCGAGCACTGTTTCCCCCGCTGCTGCTGCTGCTGCCGCCGGTCCTGCGGTCGCCCCAGGCTCCCATGCTCCGCCATCCCCGCGGGCATCGCCACTCGGCGCCCAGGTCTCACCATCTAACCGCCCCGCGCTCCCAAGAGAAGCCACTTCCGCCTTCCCCTACGGCCCCGCCCCACGACCGCTATATCCGCTTCCTGCGCTCAGCCCCACGCTCATCGGGGCGGCACAGCTCCCTGACGGGCCGGGATTGGCCAGCGCGGCCGCCGCTCATGGCTTGGGCGGGGCCCGGGTCTGGTGCGCGCGTGCGCCGTGGGCTGGGCCGCGATCGATGCTGCTGCGGAGCTTGGCTGGGGGAGGCAGGGCCGTGGCCGCTGCTGCCCGTGGGCCGGCAAGTACAGGCGGGGACCGGGGCGGGGGCGCTCTCGGGAGGCCAGGGACCGGAGAAGCCCTGACCACCTGGCCTCCCCGCCTCTTGGGGAGGTGGCTGCAGCCGTCGCGCCGCCGGTGGGCAGGACAGCCTGCGGGCCTCGCCTCTTGTCCGATCTGCCCTCGCCCCGCACCGCGCTCGGGGTGATAGAAGGGCCTTTCTGCCGCTGGGCAGAGCGCCGGGATAGCACCAGCCGGGTTCTCACCTCGTTCACTCGTTCTGAGTATCTGTTGAGCGCCTGCTGTGGATGAGCCCTTTGGGGAAGCCACAGTGAACAAGGAGCTGATGCTTCTTGTAAGAGGAGTTAGAGAAATAAAGTTTGGGCAGTGTCAGTGAGTGTTCACACAGAGCAGCGAAGGGGACCCGGGGACCGGGGCTGGGGAGGGAGGAGGGAGGGAAGGCTGCCTACGAGGGCTTTGGAAGATGATCTGGGAGGCCTGGGCTTCTCATGTGACCGAGGGACGCAGGAATGAAGGGGTGATGTGATTAGTCAGGATGGCCAAAGGGGAAAAGCAAGGCTGTACTGGTTAGAGAGGGAGAGGTGGCTGTGTGGCGCAGGAGCTTACAGGCTTCCACCCCTTCCCCGCCCCATTCCTGAGCACGGAGCAGAGTCATCTTAGCTGAGGGTACCAAGCTTCGCCTCAACCCACCATCTGCTGGAGTGCACACCTAGTGCCTGGCCGTGAACCCAGCACTTCTCATGAATAATATTGTGTCATGTTCATACCGACCATCATGTCCATTTTACAATGGGGAAACTGAGTCTAGAGGAGAAATAACTTGTCTAATGTCACACAGAAAATGAGGAAGCCAAGAAGGACATGGAGTCCCCTGCCAGTGACAGGAGGCCGAAATTTCCCCAGAGCTGGAGGCAGGCGAGGCCTCACCAGCTTCAGGGAGACTCATATGCTTATCTGCATTCTTAGGGGCCATGCCGACTCTCCAGCTGGGACTGGTGCCAAAGGCTTCCTAGAGGTGGCAGCATTCTTCACAGGCACCATGCCTGGATCCGAATCCGTGAAGGCTGCAGAGAGTTCGGGAAGGACCATGTGGAGGTGGGCTCCCAATCAGGTGTAGATGGCACCAGGCAATCCAAATCCTCCCTGCCTGGTGGGGGCCCCTTAGAACACCCGTACTCGCTGCCGCCTGAGCTCCAGCCCCCTACAAACTGCTGCATGAGCGGCTGTCCCAACTGCGTGTGGGTGGAGTATGCCGAGGCACTGCTGCAGCACTACCAGGACGGCGGGGAGTGGGCCCTGACCGCCCTGGAGGAGCACGTGGCTGATGAGAACCTCAAGGCTTTTCTCAGGATGGAGATCCAGCTCCGCGTGAGGAGTGGAGGCTGAGCCAGCCTGGCCAGACACCCTCACCCTGATGGGCTCCAGCCTGGCAGTTCCTTCTTGGGAAGCAACATGGCCTCCTTTATTCATGATCCCTTTATAGGGCTTGTGTCGGATGGGAATATTCCCGGAAGAGTTATTTATTGACTTTACCTGAGAATAAATAAGTTGTCTGTGGTGGTTAGACAGGAGGCTTCTGTGTTCTTGTCTGTAAGGCTCGAGTTGCTGCGTCGAAGAAAACAGGTACAGGTGGTCATCGGACGCTTACCGAACACCTACAGCCTTCACCAATCTGTGAGGGTGAAATAAACTCATTTCCTTGAATGTCCAAGTGACAGTGACCCCAGCATTGTGTCCCAGCATCCCAGAAGTCTTGCCCAAAGGTCAGCTCTGGTTACTCTCAGCATGTGGCAGAGAGAAGGCCATCTGGTCCTGTGAGGTTGCCATTGGCAAAGCCCTTGGTACGAACACCTGCAGGCAGCCTGGGAAGCACCCCATTTGTCCGGCTGCTGGGGTCCCTGGGAGACACCCTTCTACCACCAGGTAGAAGACTGCAGATCAGCTGCAGGAGCCTGAGCACTGCTTGGCCACCAGTCCTTCCAACCCACTTAGCCATGGCTCCCAAGGCAGTTGGCTGAGGCGGAAGGACGAGAAGGTCTCAGGCATTAGCCCTAGAACCAGCCTCCCGGCACCAGCCTGGTCCTTGGCTGCAGACCTGGCCACCAGACCATCGGCCCAGGTAGGACTTTATCTTAGGGCCTTCACTGCCCATCCCCATCTCCTGCTCACTCTCCTCCATGGAAAGTTTCCCACGTCATCCCCCTCCCCCTAACAACTCCAAGCTCTGATTCCAGTGGCCTGGACAGGGTGAGAGTTACATGAATTTATGCCTGTTTTTTTTTTTTTTAATATTTTATTTTATTTTACTTTTTTGCGAGGAAGATCAGCCCTGAGCTAACATCCATGCCAATCCTCCTCTTTTTGCTGAGGAAAACTGGCCCTGAGCTGATATTTGTGCCCGTCTTCCTCCACTCTGTGTGGGACGCCGCCACAGCATGGCTTGACAAACGGTGCATCGGTGCGCTCCCGGGATCCGAACCTGGGCCACCAGCAGCGGAGTGTGCGCACTTAACCGCTATGCCACAGGGCCGGCCCCTATGCCTGTTTTATCTGCTCTCATTTAAGGGAAAAGCTAAGATTGTAATATGACTTCACAAGGGATTTGAGCTGATAAACAGGCTTTCCCAGGTAGGGGCCTTTAATGTAAAGCCAGCATTTCACAGAGAGAGAGAGATCCTTGGACAATAGAATAAAACCAGACAACCACAAAATGTGCTGCCGTACTAATGCCTAATAAGACACGCAGCAGTTCAGGCTGTCATCTTGGACAGCTAATGAGTGTCATTCAGCATTCAGAATTTTGGTGGGTTCGGAGAAATGTGATTAGAGTGACACATATTTATTAGATTCTATCTCAGTATCTAGTCTAACCCCATCATAGAGATTTGAAAACAGCCCGGGAAGAGAAAGATGTTCCCCACACAGAGCAGCACAACAGAGCTTGGTGTGCTCCAGGGCCCCCTGGAGTGGTTTACAGCATAGAGGGCATTTCCTCAGAGATGTAGGAAGAGGGTTTCTATATTTTCCTCAAAAATAGGGATTTACAAAAGGTCTTCTATATGTATCTGTGTATACACACGTATACATGTATCCATATACACGTGTGTATACACGTGTACATGTGTATACTTCCCACCCAGTGGATCTGACAAAATTAGTCTTATTTTAGAATTCACCAGTCATAGCAAAGGCCCATGCAGTGTGAGACATCCCCAAAGAGAAGCCACTGGCCTTGCGCCTTGCAGTGGGGCAGTCCCCCTCCTAGATGTAAACATGGCGGTTGAGGATGCCAGCACGTGTCAGCACCAAGCTTGCCGAAACTACCTTGCCAGTGTGGATTCTGTCTTTGTTCGTTTATTCATTTGTTCTTTCATTCCACAGACACTTATTGAGCATCTGAAATACTTGGCACTAGGCTAGACACTGGGATCCAGGGGAAATCTGTCTCCCATTCCACTCTGGTGTGGGAGACAGAGGTTAACACAAGAATTATCCAAATATACAATTACATGATAAGTGTGATGAAGGAAAGTTCCAGCTGCTGTGAGGTCCTTTGAAATAGGTATCCTGGTCCAGTCTGAGGAGTCACCCTGGGGAAATGATACTGGGGCAGAGCTCTGAAGTCCTAAGAGGAGGGAGCTGGGGGAAAGGGGAGAAGTATAAAAAAGACACTACACAGGGAGCAGCAGGTGCAAATATCTTGGGGTGGAAGGGGCTCATTGGAGCACAAAGAGCAAGAGAGAGGGATGAAAGGTAAGGCCAGGGGCCGGCCCTGTGGCTTAGCAGTTAAGTGTGTGTGCTCTGCTGCTGGTGGCCCAGGTTCGGATCCTGGGTGCGCACTGAGGCACTGCTTGTCAGGCCATGCTGTGGCGGCGTCCCATATAAAGTGGAGGAAGATGGGTATGGATGTTAGCCCAGGGCGAGTCTTCCTCAGCAAAAAGAGGAGGATTGGTGTGGATGTTAGCTCAGTGCTGATCTTCCTCACCAAAAAAAAAAAAAAAAGGTAAAGCCAAAGAAGTGGATAGGGGCCAGGCTACACAGGGCTTTGGGGGCCACAAAGACAGGTTCTTCAGAGGTTAGAGGACTGAAAGAGAGGGAGAGGCCCAAGACAGCAGCCAGTGCTGTTTTGTCTTCATTTCAAAGCTGAGTGGCTTCAGAAGAGAGTCCTGCCCTTCTCCGGCTGTTCATGATCACACTTCTCCTCCCTGTCCTGGCCCCATCCCTGGCTTGTCCTTCCTCCAGGCCCTTGACCACACCCGAGCCCCTTCCCTGTCCCCCAGACTCCTCTGTAGTGGTGCCTGCCCCAGGGGCCCTGACAATCTCATTAGTGTGGGGTCAGAGCACAGTCCTAATCGGCTTACCCAGAAGCGGGATAAATGCCCAGGCCGGCACCCTGCTGAGGGAGGCCTGGCCACTCACACCGTGACCCCTGAGACCTGCCCCAGTCCTGGGTGAGTAGTGACCTTCCTAGGTTGCCTTTCCTGGTGGCCACTTACCAAGGGTGTTAGCTGAGCATCTGCCCACAGGGTGGGGAGCAGGTGGGCTCTTCACCACCACACTTAGGCCTGGGTCTGTGGGGGTCCATCCACCGCCCTGTTCTTCAGGGAGGTTGCCCAGCCCATCTCTCTGCTCCTGCATGTCAAACAGTGGTACAGGCTGTCCCAAGGCCAGCAATGGTCTGGGAGCCTTGGACCACACATGCTCACCCAGCTTGAGTGGGCACCAGCCACAGGCTGGGCCGGGGCAACTCAGGCAGCAGTTTCCATGGGGACAGCATCTGGTGGTTGGAGCTCCATCAGGGCCCCAAGCTGCCCATACCAGGCCTATGGCCTGGGACTGGGGAAGGGGTCCAGCTGGGCCTATTCTATCTGGGCTGTGAGGAGTGGGTGCCATGGGGTCTGAGCAGCCAGGACCACCAGGCCTACTGCCATCCGCCTTAGACCCCATGCAGATCTGGCTCCTGAGCCCTGGTTCCTCCCAGGCTGGTGCTAGTCCTGGCACAAAGGCTGAACCTTAGGGAGGGACGGTCCATAGCAGGGTCCACCCCAATCCCAGGTGCCCTGGCACCTGCCGTGAGCCTTGCTCCCTGTGGGGCCACCTGTCCTTGCCTCCCAGTTGGTCTCAGTCCTGATGCTCTAGCAGGCCGCTGGTGGTAGCCCAAGGCTGGAGTCAGGCATCACAGCCCACAAGACGGGGTCGGGGCAAGAAAGGGGACCCAAGAGGTGGAGACTGGGGCCTCCAGTGCCAGGGGCAGTGGCTCCTGTCTGTCATGTGCTTAGCCCCAGGACCTTCTGGGCTCACAGTGGCCCCTGAGGGATTAGAGTCTCCCTCTGGTGTTAATAGGCTTAGAGGAAGCTGAGCTACCCTTGGCCAAGGTTACTGGGGCTTAGGGCATCTGGGAAGATGCTCCGGGGGGGAAGAGGGGAGGTCACCTTTTGAGGTGGGTGCAAGGACACTGGCCTCATCTGGAGCAGCTGAGACCTGCTCAGCCACGCCTGAGCCATGCAGGTGACGCTGGTGCCCAGAGTGGGCTCCAAGCACAGTGAGCTGCCAGAGGATTTACCAGCAGAGGGAAGATACTGCTCGGGGTGAGGGTTACACAGCTCAGCTGGGCATCTCATTCTGAAATGGCCCTGCTCTGCCCGGGCACCCTGCCCTCCCGTTTCTCCTGTCATTCTTCATCATCACTGGCACATTCATCATGGGCGTCAGCATACCACCATGAATGAGACCGACTGTCCCAACCCCCGTGGATTAGGAGGCAGAACGCAGGAGTAGGGGGAGACGTGAGGAGAGGGTACACTTAGGGGTCACCGAGCATTCTCATTCCCCTGCCTGGCCTTGAGTGGAGCCCCATGAGGAGCTGCTGGGGGGCTGCTGTCTGGGTCACACCGAGGGCCGGCAGGGCTGGGTCTCATGTTTTGGGGTTTTCTCTGCTCTGGTGGGTTGAGACCTCTGAGTGGGGTGGGGAGCAGGAGGGCTGACTGGGACCCCTGGCCTGGTCTGCCCCCAGCCCACCGTGTGAGGGAGTCCAGAAGCCAGAGGTCACCACAGGGTCTCTGCCAGCCTGGCCATGAACCTGGAGCTGCCTAAGGCCGAGGTCCGGTCGGCCACCAGGGTGACCGGGGGGCCCGTCACTCCCAGGAAAGGGCCCCCCAAATTTAAGCAGCGACAAACCAGGCAGTTCAAGAGCAAGCCCCCTAAGAAAGGCGTCCAAGGGTAAGCAGAGCTGGGAGAGGGGTGCCTCTGTGAGGGGGTGGAGGCCCAGCCCCAGGCTGCACAGGAGGATGGGACTGTGCTTTAGCTGGGAGGGCTGGGGAGGGGCCTCAGCCACCCTTTCCTGGCTGAGGGTGGTCCCATCGTGCTAATGGGATGGGGCAGTTCCTGAGGGCCTGAGCCCGGCGTGTCTCAGAGACCCCCACTCTCCAGCATGGGGGACAGGTGGGGCTCGGAGAGCTCCTGTCACCCTCTCTAGCTGGTATTGCCAACAGGTCTGGAAAACACCCACTCCCACCTGAGACTCAGCCACAGCCCCACCAACCGACGCGTGTCCCTGCACACATACTCACAGCCCACGTGTACACACCAGGGACATACTCCCAGACACACCATGCTCTCAGAAACCTGCACTAGAGTACACGTATGCCCTCACGTGTCCCCACACTGCTCTCTTCCTGGCCACTGTCCCTGACCGCTCTGTCCTTGCAGGTTTGGGGACGACATCCCTGGAATGGAAGGCCTGGGAACAGGTATGATGGCTGCTAGGGTCTGCCCTGGTCCCCCTTTCAACCACCGGTGTGCCCTGGCCTAGCATCCCTTGTTTTCTCAGGCCCAGGCTTATTTAGGGTGCTGCCCCCAGCCTGTCGTTCATTTTCTCCCCCAACATCAAGCTTCAGGCTCCACTGAAGTGGCGTTGTTCCCATTCGTGATTCAAACCAGGTGCTTGGAGGGGCTGGAAAAGAACGGGGAGCCCTTGCTGTCCCCCTCCCCCCAGCAGCAAGGCCCACTTTCCTCTAGCCCCTCCCTTGGGCCTGCTGTACCCACTCTTCTGGGGCAGGGTGCCCACTCCACAGCCCCCCAAAAGCTTATGGGTCCTGGGAGGAGGGCTCTACACCCAACACCTGTAGTCTCACCACTTTGGGTGTAGACAGCAGGGCCCCGAACGATGGTGGCTCCCTCCTGGACCCACTGGCCCCCTTCTCCTGCAGACATCACGGTCATCTGCCCATGGGAGGCCTTCAACCACCTGGAGCTGCACGAGCTGGCCCAGTACGGAATCATCTAGCACCCAGGGTCCCGGGACCCTGCATCCTGCTGCCCGCTCTGACTCCTGCTCAGGATTCCTGTGAAGGAGGCCCACCCCCCAGTCCAACGTGTCCAGATTGCCCAGACTGTATCTGGAGACTTGTGCAGGGCGGCTACCTCAGGCCGTTGGACGCCAGTTCCCAGGAGCCCACCATCTCCCCGAAGGACGCCCTCTTGGAGCCGGCCAGGCCCTGCTTAATTTCCAGAGACTGTGGCCCATGCTTCTCAGGCCTGCCCTCAGAGAGGGGGAACTGGACCCCAGACCCTCTCCTCTGGGGGCTGGAAAGCCAGGGAGGGCCTCCCAGGAGTGTCCCCCACACCCTAGCCCCCTGTCCTACCCATCTGGGAGTGAGAACAAGCCTCTCCCACTAGCCCTTCCCAGCAGGTGCCCTTGGGTCTGGCGTAGTGGGCGGCAGGAGTCCTGGGGGCCTGAGCGAGAGAGCAAGGCCACTCCAAACCCATCACGCCGGCAGGAGCTTGCCCTTTCCAACATTGCCCATGCTTGCTGTCCCTGTTTCAAAATAAAATTTTGTGCCCCTACTTGATTGTTTGGGGCGTGTTGTGAGTGGGGGCAGGGCCAAGAGTGTGGGTCACTTCAGCAGGAGCGTATGGATGAAGGTGCAGGGCAGTGGGGGCAGGGGGGGCCTAGCCAGGCTGAGAGGGAAGAAAACCACTCGGGCACTGAGCCTGGGCCCCTGATGGCTGGGGACACACACAGCCAGGCCAGGGCTGGGGCAAGGCAGGCAGCCCCACGCACTCCCGTGGCCAGAGCAGGCCTCACCGAGAGGGAGGGACTGGACAAGGCCCAAGAACAGCTCACGCCAGGAGGAGAGAACATCTATCCCCTCCTCACAGGCAAGGAAAAAGGTGCAGAGAGATTGGGTAACTCACCCAGTGGCCCAGCCAGCCTGTCCTTAGTGTCCATTAAAGCTGGACAGGCGCCCACTCGTGACCCGGCAATTCCACTCCTGACACCACAGCCAGGAGAAGCAGGGGCACTCTTCCACATGGAGACCTGTGCATAATTGTCCCTAGCAGTGGTCATCATCCAGAAGCCACCCAAATGCATGTCACATGGACCAGGTGCAGTAACCAGATGGTGACTCTCAGAAAGGGCCCTCAGTGATCCCATTTATGTGAAAGCCAGAAAAGGCCACACTAACCAAAGGTGATGAAGTCCAAGCAGGGGTGACCACAGGGAGAGGACGAGGAAGCCTGCTGGGGCTAGATCTTGACCTGGTGGTGGTTCCACAGGTGTTTAGATAGGTAAGAATTCCTCATGCTGCCCACTTAAGATTGGTGCAATTTACTGTATGAATGATACATCTCAGTAACATTTACTACCCCCCCCCAAAAAGCATCCTGGAGGGAGAGGCCTGGGCCTCACCCTCACCGCCACAATGGACAGGAAAGGGGGAGGTAGCCACAGAGGAGGGAAGATGCCAGGCTGTGGTGAGGAGCTGGTCTCAGGAGTGGGCCTTGAAGGTGGGGGTCGGAGGCTGGCCTCAGAGGCAGGTGGGAGGTGGGCCTCAGAGGTGGGACCTCATAGGCGAGCCCAGAGTTGGGGGCTCAGCAGCAAGGTTTCATCCAGTCCCCAAGCCATCCCATTCTCCCTGCCAGCCAGGTGGTTTTGCCTGGCACCCTATGTGGGAGGCAGACGCTGGCCAGGCAGCACCTGTTGGGGGTCGGTCTACACTTAGTCCACAGTGGCGCTTGCAAGTGAGCAGGAGTGTGAGTCGGTGGATCCAGGGGCAAAGCCTCCAAAACAGAGCAAAATCAAGCGGCCGCTAGGGACTCATTCTAGCCCGGCCTCAGGGAAACAACAGAACTGAGAAGGAAGCAGGCAGGCCGGGCCCTTGGGGATAGGGGACCCCAGGGAGCGGAGGCCCAGCAGGTGTAGGAGGCTTGGGTGTTCAAGGTTCACGTCCACAAGTACCCACACAGGTTACTCTGATGCCTTCCCTGGGAAGGGAGGGAAGGCCTGCAGCCCCAGACCCCCTCCTGGTGCCCCCCGTCTTTTGTCCCTCCTCCCAGTCATCCCCAGATGGCTTGGCAGAGGGCTGGGCATCAGGTCTGGAACTGCAGTGGACAGGCCTACCCTCCCCGTCCACTCCAGGGCTCTCTGCTGTCCCCTTGCAGCCAGCCAGGGCCAGCAGGAGCTCTGCCCCTTGGACCACCACGACCACAATCAAGTAGCCGCCCACAGCCCAGATATTCCCTCACAGCCACTGTCGGAGTGGGGGGCCACAGCCCTCCGGGTGGACCACTGTCTGAGCTGCATCCTCATCCAGGCCCAGGGCCCCAAGGCCACACTGCTCGTTGACAGAGGCTCCATCTTCCCAGGGGTTGATGCAGCAGGAGGCAGGAAGGCTGCAGGCCTGGACCCTGGGGGAGCTGCAGTTAAAGATCCTGCAGCATGCACGGGGTGTCAGGCTGGAGGGCAGTGCCCATTGTGCTGGGACCCAGTGCTGCATGGAGTGTCTCCCACCTACCTTCAAGCTTCCAGGGCCACACACACACACAGGCACACATGCATGCCCACACACTCGTGCACATGCACACATGCATGCATGCATATACACAGGCATGAATGCACACACATGCTGTGCACACACATGCACACAGGCATGCATGTACACACATGCACATATGCACATGCACACATGCTTTGCACACTCAGACACACACACAATACCCAGCTTTCTATAATTGATCCTGGCATGTGGTAGCCCTCTGCACGTGCAGGCACGTGCAATAGCTTCTTGGCTAGAAGGGCCATATTTAATGAAATGGTGGAAGGGGAGACAAGCATTGATGAGGGGTGGAAATAAGATGGCCTGGCTCGAGAGATGCTGCTGAGTTGGTTTGAGCAGCAGAGCTGGAGCAGGAGAACGTGGGTTGAGGCCCGACAGAGGCCTCCATAGTGGCCAGCGGGTCATAGCAGGGGAGTGAGGGCAGAACTGGACAGCCACAAGAGGTGGGAGGCTTGGGAGGAGCTCCCAGGACCGCCAAGGAGTGTTGCTCTAGTCACAGTCCCCAGTTGCCCTTGGCCTCCGACAGGTATCCAGGGCCCTGTGACCTGCAGTCTTGTCCCCCTCGCCCTCCCTCACAGGCACTGTCTCATCTCCCAGAAGAGTGGATCTCATAAGGCAGGGGCTTGAAGGACAGGTGGCCACAACACCACAGGGGGCTGCCACTGATCCAAGGTCACACACAGCCACCAAACAAGAACAACCCATGTGGATGCTTCTAGAGAGCCTGGCACACAGAAGGGCCCAACACATTTTAGTGACTGTTGGGTACAGATTGCTGGTTTTCAAGAGTCTCTGTGTGACTCCATCTCTCGTGGTCAGTTTCCCTTGGATACGCACACCAGGAAGGCCCAAGGGAGGGGCATATACCATCTGTTGTGGGCGTCATGCAGAGAGTAGGTGCTGCCCTGGGTGTCTGTGCACTGGGGATAGTTGACAAAACAGATATCCTCGAGCAGAATGTAAAAAATATACTGCTTTGCATGCCTGAGCAGACAGTACTTAAACACACACAGTGGAGGGAGAACTGCAGAGTTGTGGTCCGGAACGACATCCTGAATTAACCTAAAAGTTACTTTCATTTGGCATTGAGGTGTTTTGTATGATGTCTTTACCAAAGAAAACCCCCCAAAAATGACTCTCTGTCTGCTGGCTGAGCTTCTCCATTAACATCCCTGCGTGTCCACCTGGCTCTGGCTGGGCCCAAGTGTGTTCATGTGCATGTGTGCATACATGAGTGTGTGCCCCACTCATGTGGGGCCCGACCTCCCCTCCAGCCCCGGGGACCCTGCTGGCTCCCTCTCAGGCTCCGGCACCACAGGTTCCACTGCCAGTCCTGGTAGGAGGCGGCCCCGCAGCACTGCAGCCCGAGCTGGACTTGATCGATGAGGAAGCGCAGGTCTGCGTCGTCCTGGTAGTGGATGACGGCCACACGCAGGGCATGCTCCAGGCCATCCTGCAGTGGGCCCCAGAGGGCCACCACCAGGGCCCCCCACCACGGCCTCCAGCACCAGAAAAGCGAGAAGGCCCCCGGAGAAGCAGCGCAGCAGGCAGGCATTCTCGCAGAGGGTGCCCAGGCAACCCACCAGGCTTACTGCACTGACCACCAGCGCCCCCAGCACCAGCCCCAGCATGGGGTCTGCAGGCAGGGGGCCTCCCCAACTATGTCCCAGAGACCCCTTGATGGCCAGGCCCCAGAGCCCAATGGCCAGGGCCAGCAGGCTGAGCAGAGAGAGGAGGAAGTTGGACAAGAAGGTCAGGCACTTGAGGTAACTGCTTACCCAGGGGATGAAGGGGGCCAGGCCTCCTCTGAGGCCTCCCCCAAGGTCTCCCCCAATGCCTGCCCTCCAGGCCTGGCCCTCCTGGAGTGCTGGACCCAGGCGGCTTGAAGTGAGTGGGCTGTTCCCAGAGAGGGGTGGCTCCTGGCACCCAGCATCCTACAGAGTGAGGAGGACCAGGGAGACCTCACCATTGCCACCCTATTCATATAGACCCCTGATAATAAGCAGGGAGGAACCCTCACAGCAAGGGGTAGAGCCTACAGTGGGGAGGAAGCTGGACAGTAGAGGGGGAAGGGGTGCTCAGGGATCCTAGGTGGCTGGGACATGGGAGCCTCCAGGCTTGTCCTGCTTGGCCATGCAGCAGAGGGGACAGTGAGGGACCCAGCTCCTTTAGAACAGGGAGAGTACTATGCCCTGCAAGTCTGCGGTGGAGATTAAGCAAGGCGATTATGGGAAATGAGTGTTCCATCAAGGCACACCTCTCCCCTCTGCCCTCTGCACTTGTGTGATGAAACATGCGGTCACCAGGGGCTTTTCCACCCAGGCCAGAGGCTGGGCCAAGTGACCACCTTTTCTGCCTCTGAAACCAGTCCTGATGTCTCAGGATCCACTCGGTCAGCCCCACTAACTGAGTGCAGATGCTGTGCTGGGCCCATGGCAGTGAGGGACAGGCCAGGGCCCCGGCCACCCGGCTCCCAGGACAGGGAGAAGGGCCACCAGGAGACCAGGGCTCTGTGGGATGTAGGCGCTTCCACCTCACCCTCTAGCAGGACACTCAGCCAAGCCTGGGGGCCCCTGGCTGTACCAAGGTGAATAGTAAAGGGGTGCTGAATGTTGGGGACCTTTCCCCCCCTCAACTCCCCCACAGAGGAGTGGCTCATTGATCGGTGAGGTTTGGAGAAGCTGTGAATCCTGTTCTACTTGGCCCCTTAATGGACAATCTCAATTTCAGATCTCCCTGCCCCTTCCTCCTCACCCGACCCCCTTTCCCCGCAGGCAGGTGTGAGAGGGC